ATTAAATTATTCTCTCACACCCTCATCACCTCTCGTTAAACTTTGTGTTGCAAGTTGGTATCTCCAAAACAACTGAAGGAAATATTTCACTTATTTGATAATATAAAAGGAGGTCACTGTCTAAGTTACACAACTCCAACATGGATTTTGACATAATTATGGCCCTTTTTGAATATAGAAGAGTTTACATTACCATTCCTCTTTTTAATTTTCATGCTCGGAGAATAGTCGAGCACGTTGTCCAACTGACAGCTCTTGTTATTATATAAACTTGTTACAAAAATTACCTATAGTTTAATCACAAAATTGAACAAGAGGATCATGATGGCCCTGAAATCGCTCACCTTAATATAAAAACTGACAAAGGACAAGTAATATTTTAAATTATCAACAAAAGCAGGTATAAAATATTATCTTAAACCGATATCACAAAGTTCAAATTTGTTTCTGAAATAGTGCATGTGTATTAACATTACTGGTTGCTATTGCTAAGGGAAAACAGGAAAACAACAGTTCCAAAAGATGTGTACATATAAGGAAAATCAATGACATCCTGGGGCGGGGCCAATTTTGACCCAGGACACTCACTAGACACTCACTAGAAGATGTTCCATGCTAAATATCTAAGCTTTTGCTCTTTAGGGTTTTTTTAAAAGAATTTTCTATACGTTTTTACTCTTTACATAAAGGGAAATTCAATAACCCCCTTGGGCGGGCCAATTTATACTCAATGGGTTTTATTTGAACAAATTTAAAGAGATGTCGTTTAAAGTAAAACATACAGCCGGACAAATTGTGATCACAAAATAAAAACTCATGTGTTATAAAAATATATAAGTATAACTACATTAAATGAGCAAGAAATGTATTAATGTCAATACAAAAATAATATCCATTTGGTTTAACAATTCATGTCAAAATGTTACAATTTCAATCTACATGTCTACTAAGACTTTAAACCATTAATAATGTTGTTTCAATGCTTGAACAGCGCCAATAGAAGTCTATAAAATGCCTGTAAGCTTATCTATTAATACGAGGGTTGTCCAAAAAATTCGTGCACTGCAGTTATTGTCGTGAGAGTTATTAATAAAAACAAATGAATTATATATCACTTGAAAGAGAAATCTGTCTCAAATAAGAAAACAAAAGAAAAAGCCGAGTAACCGGCGTGTCGTGTAAAAGAATGGTCATTGAGTTTTAAAAGCAGTGATATTGATGGAAATGTAGCAGATTTTTTTATTGATTCAAACGAATTTATTGCACCATATCTTGTCAAAATTTTTAATGTTATTTATGATAAAGGTGAATATCCTGAGACATGGAGTAAAGGAGCAATTGTTTCAATTCATAAAAAGGGTGATTATACTGACCCTGCTAATTATAGAGGGATAACTCTTGTAAATGTTGTTGCTAAGATATTTTCGCTTGTATTACGTAATCGTATTAATAAATTTTGTGAAAATGAAAATGTATTGAATGACAGCCAATTTGGGTTCAGAGATAAGCGTAGTACTGCCGATTGTATTTTTTCTTTTGCATGCGATAATTCAGAAGGTTTTGTTAAATAAGTGTAAACTCTATTGTGCCTTTATTGACTACGAGAAAGCTTTCGATACTGTAATACACGAGGCTTTATGGATAAAATTAGTACAGTCTGGAATTAGCTGCAAAATTATTAAAATGATAAAAGCGATTTATGAAAATGTTAAGTCGTGTATAAAAAATCATGATAATAGCTCGAATGCTCAATTCTTTGATATCTCACTCGGACTGAAACAAGGGGAACCACTCTCGCCCCTTCTTTTTATTTTATTTGTAAATGATATATCTTCTTGTATTAATTTCTCACAACTTTCCAATGATGATATGATTTATTGTCAATGTACATGTTATTGTTTGCTGACGACATTGCACTATTTACTACCAATCCTGACAGTCTACAACTCCAACTCAACCAGGTATATGAGTATTCACGAAAATGGGGTTTGAAAATTAATGTAGATAAAACCAAAATATGTATTTTTGAAAAGAGAAAATCTAGACATAACTATACCTGGTTTGTTGATAATGAGCCTATTGAAATAGTTGATTCATTTTGTTATCTTGGTATACAATTCTTTTATACTGGTTCTATGGTTAATGCTGTAAAAACTTTAAGCGACCAAGCTCTGAAGGCATATAACAATTTGTTGTCCGTGTTTAGTAGAATAAAACTAGACATTAAAACTAAATTGTCCCTATTCGACTCTCTCGTTGTTCCAATACTATTGTATGGATCTGAAGTCTGGGGAATATATAACTGCAAAGAAATCGACAAATTGCATCTCCGTTTTTGTAAAATAGTCCTTGGTGTTCGACCTCAGACTTCCAATGCTGCTGTGCTTGGAGAGCTTGGTCGCTTTCCTTTATCTGTTATCTGTAAAGAACGTGCTCTTAAATACTGGTTAAATATAATGAAATATCCAGGGTCATTAGTACATACAATATTTTTGGAACAATGTGCTTTGTTACCTAATAATACCATGTCTACTTGGTCATCGTCTGTTAAAAAACAACTTGATAGTCTTGGATATAGCTACTTATGGAATTCTCTAAACCTTGATATGAATTATTTGCCAATGTTAAAACAAAGGCTACGTGATCAGTACGTTCAAACATGGAATGATACAATAATGAATCAATCTAAGTTATATTATTATAGAAAATTCAAATGTGAGTTTAAATATGAAAAGTATCTAGATATTGTTACAAATGAGCATCAAAGAAAAGAATTGTCTCGTTTTAGACTCTGTTCCCATCTTCTTGAAATTGAAAGTGGTAGATTTGCAGGTATTGATCGAAACCTACGAACTTGTAAACTTTGTTCACTTAATGTTGAATCTGAATATCATTTTTTGTTATGCTGTCCACTCTATAGAAACCTTCGTCGAAAATATAATGTTAATTATTCTTTTCCATGCATTAATAAATTTACTAGATTATTGTCTTCAAGTAATAATAGAACTATTAGGAATATTGCCAAATTTGTATTTTATGCTATGCATTTGAGAAATGAAAAACTTGCAATTATTGCTGCTTCTTAGGTTCTTGTATTATAACTGTATTGTATTTCATGTATTGTATTTATGTTAAATGTAAATTGTATTATCTTGGCCATCCTTTTGTATATTGTAAATGGCCAAAGGTATATTGTATATGCCGATTTGCCAATAAACTGAAACTGAAACTGAGTAACGTAATACCGGCGCAAGACAAAAAATTGGGTTAGTTCATTACTGTAAATGTATTGATTTTTGCTTGTAAATATAAAGTGGTATTTGCTTTTTATGTTATAATTTGTTTTACTGTCAATAGAGGAATGATTGATGAAAAGAATTGTGTTGTTTTTATTGTTTTTTATGCAACGTACATGTAGCATATTCTACCAGTGCAGGAATATATTGGACAACCCTCGTCACATGCGCCGGCATTACGGACGAACGTCTGCCTGACTGGTTGTCATCGTCTATCGACTCTCTTTCTCTTCCACAGAGCGTTTGTGCCATTTAAAAACCAGCCTTCGTGACACTGAACTTGTCCCACTTGCCCTTTTAAGTTCTTTGTAGGTATCTGTTGATGATTTACCAAAATTTGTACCAAATTTAATGATCGTCCGTATTTCCAGACGTTTATCGACTGACATTTTCACGTAATTACAGTATTGACGACCGCACACAAATGTTTGTTTACGACTGTTACAATAGGGCAAATGACGCCATATTTTCTAGTGACGTTAGGAATACGTTCACACACTTTTCCCTGAATTTTAACGTTAATATGTAGTGTTTAAAGAATACCGTGATGCATCAAAGTAATGAACTAACCCGATTTTTTGTCGTGCGCCGGTATTACGTTACCAAGGTAACTGTATGACGATTCGTTTTTAGGACATGCCGGTTACATGTTTTTTTCTTTTGTTTTCTTATTTAAGATATATCTCCCCTTCAAGTGATATTTAATTAATGTTTTTCTATCAATAACTCACACGACAATAACTGCAGTGCACAAATTTTTTGGACAACCCTCGTATAACGCGTTTTTACTATTCATGTGTTTCTACTATTCACGCTGCAAATGCAAATGCTAATATTGACAGGTCAACATTTTATGAGCGGTATTTCTGTTCAGAAAGCAGATTGGAACTACATGTATTATCAAATGCATTTGTTAACTCGGATGATCTTGGGTTCATGAAGATTGCCTTGGCAATGTCACACAGGATATACTACATGGTTAAAAGTACTGACATGAGACCCGACGATCCCCATCACATAATGATAAGGTATGTGTAAACCTACATCCAAATAGGCTGTAACACAATACAAAGTAAGTCCCTATATGTATGTATAATGAGCTGCAGTGTATCTTTCTGTTTTAACGCAAAGTTACCAAACGACGAGGATATTTTGTTTGACATTGCACCCAGACACTTGGCTCACTTCGTAGACATGCATCACGGCTAAATTAACCTGTAGATTGTTTTCCGCTATTTGACAACGTTTAAAACTTCCTAAAAGATAACATGGGTAAAAAATGACTTTTTTAAAAAAAAGCAATGAAATTCTGTTTTAACTTGTTTACGTATTAATGTTTATCTGGCTGTATTCAAACAAACATCAAGTTATCGATATCTTGTTAAAGATTAAAATAGTGGATACATGGGGAATCACGAAATTCTTACAGTTTTAATGTAATACACTCCTGTGTATATAATGTGCACGTCCATATGAATAGTCTAAATAAAAGTTAAGCGACTCTAAATAGTCCGTCGCCGTTTATATATTGTAAATAATAGGGTTTTAAAGCGTTGTACGAGTAACGTATGAACATGTGATCATATCTACAATGTAATATGCGATTTAAAAATGCAACTTTTTAGAAGAAAGTCAATACCTACATATAGAGTTAAAGTAGACTTTACCGATGATAGCTTTACGCATGCGTAAAGAAAACACGAAGGGCGGATGCATTAAAGCATTTTTATACCACTTTGTGTTTATTAAAAAATAGGATTTGTCTTTTCTCAAGTACTTCAAGTTGTGAATTTAATATCATGCAATTGTTTATTGTGGAAACACAACAAAAGGCTGTTCAAATTATTAGTATAAACTAAAGTAAGTGACTTTTTACACATACTTAACAGTAGTGTTTTCTCCACCAACTAGTTACGATTCATTTCCTCCACTAAAATATTTATCTATGTCCCTGAATTAAACTGAACTTACTCTCGTATTATTGGTTGTATATCATCTTCTTTAAAAACAATTTTCATAATATCGATGTTGTGTTATAAACTTTTACATTGGTTGGTTAATGTTAATTAATGCGATATCTGCATGTTTGCAGCTATGAAATGCATCGATTCAAGCAACATACAGTATTTGAACATTTCGTTAATCTATTCTATTTATACTAATAGGCAGGGAACAAGAAAACCAGAAACACTATCAATTAAAATCAAGAAAATGGAAAATTTAGATGGAAATGTTGACATTGAAACAACATCGTCAGAGGAGTATATTCCTAATATTTGCGAACATTGTGACAGTGGTGGAAAGCGTGCTGAAGCTGATGGGTTTTGTGTTGATTGCAGTGAATATTTGTGTAACTGCTGTTTGTTGTACCATGTTAAGTATAAACCTGAACATTCAACTAAAAGTAAAGATGAAATGCCGCAGGATGTACGTTTTGAGAAATGTTTAAAGCATCACATGAAACAAATGAAGTATTTTTGCACGGAATGTAATAACTTCGCAAGCGCAGAATGTATAACAAACGAAGGTTGTCATCACGAAGACGGATGTCGAAATAAAACATGGACATCTCTTTACAAAGTTGCATGGGAAAACAAGGTATCGAAAACACAAGTTGACACGAAACTTGCTGAAGCAACTGATAAACTGGCAAACATTGAAGACACAATCGATAAATTAACGACAAAAAGGAAAGATAACATTCGAAAATCTATAAAAAAACACAGACAAAACTTAGAAAGTAAGATCAAAGAGCTTGAATGTCATTTCTTAAAGAAAAGTGATGAGATTGAAAACACGTTTAAACCGTCAATAGATTCTCTGTCGTGCAACGTTCAGTCTATGAAAACCATGTTACGTTCTGTTGAGTCTCAATCGGACAACTGCTGCTCAAACTTTATTGCCGTCAAAAACATAGACCGAAGCATTGCTCCAGTCGAGAAGGGTCTTGAATGCTTAAAGAAGCAGATTATGGCATACGAGTTCAAAGCAAACCCAAGCCGCATAGTTGACAAATCGGACTTTGGAAACATATTGTTCTCAGAAACTTTCCTGACAAAAACAGCGTGTTATAAGAACGATATTGATGTTAATCTGTACTATAGATGGATTTGTCCTACAAATATGAATGATGTATTAATAAAAGATGATCTACTTGTTGTTGTTACATACATGTGTAGTGCCATTGTGTTGGTTGACCCCATCAAGCAGAATGTTTTATCAAAATTATTTATGTCATCAAGTCCAAAGAGTGCAATATCCATAAATGGGACTGGAATATCAGTAGCTCTACCACTTGATGGCAAAATCAAACTGTTTGACATAATAAACTCAGAATTTGTCGATAGAAAAAAGGACATTGGAGTTGGAAAGGATTGCTGCAGTCTGGCATACAGCAAAAGTCAATGTTATTTGTATGTGTCATATAAAGAACCTACAAGCAAAATTACAATACTAAATGAAACTGGTAAAGTAGTTCGATTATTGGATAAAGACTGTTTGGGAAATAAGTTGTTTATGAGTCCGCGATATATAATTCTAAGCTTAGACGAAGAATCTCTCTATGTTTCTGACGCACAAAGAAATGCCGTGATCAAAATATATTCTGATGGTAGAATTGGAGCTGTGTCTAAGGACGAGGAACTAAATGGTCCCAGAGGATTAGCGATAGATGAACATGGGACGGTTTTTGTTGCTGGCGAGAAGTCAAACAATATTTTTCAATTAACCTCGGACTTGACAAAAATAGGAATCCTCGTTGGATTGAAAGATGTTCGTGACCCATTAAGTATCGCAATTTGAAGGCAAATAGAGGAAGAATGTTTATACGTGGGTATGGTAAGAAATACTAAAATCAAAACATTCAAAATCAGATGCATGCAAGAAACTATACTTTAAGCAAAAATCAAAGACAGATTTAGTATTGGCTAAAAGAATTATGGTTTGCTGACGTCGACTTTTGACGGACATGTAAACAGTGTTATGAGTCAACTTTGTTTTTGTTAGTTACCTTAAGCACCATTTTAGTATAAACTTATGGTCTGGTAAAACATTAGCTGAAAAAAATAAACGGTATGTCACACATGTTAAATTACTTTTATTCGGATAAACATGGATTTCACAAACTGTGATTAAAAATGTTTAAAAATTTATTGATGGATTGTCGTACTCAGAACTTGCATGATAATGTTAATTTATGACTGTCGTGTTTCCCGTAAGTAAATCCCAAGAGTTTGTGCAGCTTGAAAGACACAAAAATAAATCAACGCAATGTATAAGCTGTTAATGGGCTTTTATTTTAAGCCGATAAATGGATAACATTTTACATGTAGATTTTTTATGTCTTAACTAATAACTCAAGTCGAGCCGACTTATATTATAACCATTTTGAGAGTTTGATTTTTGTCTATTGAAATGCCATTAAAGCATTAAATTGCTTAATCAAAGTTCAGATGTTCAACATAGAGATAGGCAGACATTTAAATATTTCATACAATGATCGTTTATGTGCTACTTGCTTAGAAAGGAACATTAGATGTATAGAATGTGAATATCATGCATTTACCACTGTTGTAAATATACCGATGTTAGAAATGTATATCTCTACTTCTATTATTTTCGACAAGGTGGCATATTTCTAAATACAATTAAACGCTATTTTACAAGTTTAATACACTGGTAATCCGTATTTATATTGTGACACACTGAAGACTTTTAGTAGTATTTAATTTTTCGGATCCGACAGATATCAAAATTAAGTATTGCATTCTATGATTTTGTTATCAACTTGGATTGATGAGTTATCTACCTATGTCTGTCATCGTTTGGAATGTATTAAAAGTAGTAGATAACGTCATATAAAAACGTCATATTAATATTAAATTTTTATTAATATTATATTGACATAACCATATAAAAATGCTAATTTTATTGTTTGATATCTATTTTGGACCGGAAGCCTTTAATTATGAAAGAAATAGTTGAGTCATATATTTAAAGATATACTATGCTCATCGTTGAGTAAAATATGTGAATCACAGAAAATTATTGAAATCTGTGATTCTTTCTATATGTCTTATTTGAATAAAACAACGAAGAAAAGTCCATTCATAAATAACACATTTATATTTCATTATCGCACAAATCAAGCAAAATTCAATCATTTGGCTTTCAAGTTCTGAGTCATTGAAATCAATTTGATCTAGTTAAAGATCTCTTCCAATAATTATTTAATACAAGTATGAAGATTCTCCATTTATAATTACAAGGTTATATAGCCAATTATAAGAAAAATCGTGCAAAATTAAAAATTTTGACATTGAGTGTCATAACAATTCAAACTGTCAAAGGATATTTATTCATATTTGATTTTGGGTACGAACGATCTTTTGTTCAAAATTAAATAAATAAAAAGTCCCCGATGTAGCCTTTGTAATGATCAGGATGAAACTAAAGAACATATCTTTTGGGAATGTATTCACAGCAATAAATCAATGCACGAAATTTGTATAGATAAACTTAACATGCCAAAATTGAATAAAGAAACCATTGTTGGGTTACACTAACGGAAATAGTACAAAATGTAAACACGTTATAGTTCTTCAGTATGTCAAAATGTATATTTTTAAATTCAAAACCCAAAATAACAAGGATATCTTTTGCTGAAGCAAAAATTATATTTCATATGTTCTAAAGGTAAATGGAGCAAACTCGAATAAATGTGGACATCTTGACCAATTTAAGAAAGACTAAAATGCTGCTTTAAATACTCATAGGTATATATTTTCATATGTGGATGTGTGGATCGGCATTTGTCTTTAGTGTTGAGTATACTTGGAATTACTAAGAATAAATTAGTATATTTTGTGCACCAATTGATGTTTTGATGTGTTATATTGTTTTTTTTTCTTTTGAAAATATTCCTTTAATATTTATTTTGTCCTCAGACCTCTCAACTAACTCCATTTAGTATGTTTTTAATTCATAATTATAAATAGAAGTAATTATGTTTTGTGTAACTCATATTGTAACTTACGGAGTTTCTATGAGTACCACAAATAAATTGTGCCCCGTAAAAACTGTAAAACTTACCTAACGACCTCCTTTAAATATTATTTTTCTAATAAATGTTTTGTCGTGTTTTACATATGTTTTTACCATGTCAACTTAATTATAATACTTTTCATTTGATGCTTTTGAGTGGATTTTATTTGATAATTTCACAGTGAAAATTATCAAAAAAAAATTCACTACATTTTAAAGATTTTACCCAAATGGTACCTCACTTTTAGTTTGCTTAACATTCCGACATTGTCAGGGATATTAAGAGCAAAGCAAAAGATACAACTTACTTACGATGGCCATATATAGTCGCCAAGTTTTGGTTTCATTTTAACAGTCTGAAAAATACACTTCCATTCACATGCAAAACTGCTTTTGTTGCCATTTGGACATTTTTGAGTATCCTACGAGCAAAAACTGTAATGCAAAAGAAATGACAGTCACCAGCCCGAAAGATAAGTTAACAACCCAGCGTTCGTTAAAAATCCATGTTTTCCAATTTTTGCCGCTTTTTGAATGTTTACACATCTGTAATAGGGGCCTGAAAATAATTCAGAAAAAGAATATGTCAATTTCGTAAAAGATGCAGTAGATCTACATGACATTATTTAGATTTTATCTTAATTTTTCTATAAAATATTTTAGTTCGAACTCTTAAGTGCAAATGTTACAGGCGCGCCACGTGGTTTTGAACATTGGATCACCAACTTTTACCTGTGGATTTAGGTGGGTTCTACCCTTCCATAGACTGAGAAAATTTTGAATCATTGGGTTGAAAATTGTGCTAATGCTTTTATTATAGCGTTTTAAAGGTAATCAACGATACTCTTTACATGTGTTTGCTTATGACTTACGTTATTTCAAAACAATTGAAGGGTGGGGTTGAAACTTCACATACTTATTTGAGGGTATAAGGTCACTGCCCAATGCCCACAACTGCAACATAGATTTTGATATATTTTTTTATCATTGAAAATTGTTCAATACCCTGGCTCTTATTTTACTTTTAAGCACAAAGAAAAGTCGAGCAAGCTGTCTAACTGACAGCTCTTGTTATGATTTAAACTTGTAAATATGCTTCAGAAATGCTTTTATTATTTTTCTCGAAAGCTTTTTGATGTTTGGTGTTCTGTTATTTTTCCAAAAGGTTACTCATTGGCGAAACCATATTTTGAGTGTACATTGATGTATTAGCTATTGAAGAAGTTGACATAGAACTATTCTGTATAAAACTATAAAATATGAAACAAATTGAAACTAAGTTAAATTTTTTATTTTTATGTCCAATTTATAATGACATAAGGAAAACATATTTACCTAGACATTATTGCTCATTACATAATTTAAATAAATTCATATCAATAACAAAACGTACAAACTAAACTGTTAATTGTTCACTTAGCATTAAATTTGTTTATTCAGCAATGCAACTAAGAATTGAATCTACTTAATACATTTGTTTAAATTATTGTATACTCAAACATATTTATATGTATAATTTATAATGTATATTACTTTTCTGTACTTTGTATTATACCGCCAAAATGTTACTTGGCGATGAATGTATATTTTTGCCAATAAATTATTTGACTTGACTTGAATACTTTTGGCTTTCACTTATAAAGATTGAGTATTTCGTATGGAAGTTAAAGTACTGCAGCAACTTTGATTACATTTTCCTAATTTTACAACAGATACTTTTATTCACATTAGTTCTGCCAGAGAACTGTTTGCAAATGCATTTGCTACCTCGGATGATCTTAGGTTCAGGTAGATTGTCTTGGCAATGTCAAACGGGGTATACTGTATGATTTGAAAAGTATTGGTTAAAAGTATTGACAGGTGATCTGACAATCGCGAGCCCATGATAATAAGGTATTTGAAACCTACAGCGGTTCATTAGTTTAACAGCACACATTAAATAGATATAGTACCGCCTTCTTACAAAAGTGCGTCAAATCACTCAAAATGTCTCTCTTCATACTCTTCTGTTTGGGGATGTTTCTCTTTCTCAATCAGACAATACGGAGTTATTTCTGGCCGTCCAAAAATACATAATGGATAGTGGGAGGTTTGCATGACGAGTAAATGTTGCAAAGTACTGTCTACGACTTAACAATTACACTGGTAGCTTTTATACTGTATATGTGCTAAAGAGACATTTGTCTCTTCATCTCTAAACGTTGGTTTTCATCTTAATCTTCCTTCTTCTTTTTCTCTTTCTTTAAATTTTTTTTTCTATTAATATATTATATTAAAATATCTATCAATTACAAATAATTCAAGTGCCTTACCACATAGCCTAGTTTTGTGAATTTTTTTCAAAATTATTTTGTATACAATCAATAGAAGCGGTTGTGTTACACATTTGTTATATGCTCTTTACTTGCTCATCTACCAGCCATGCATTAGTTTTATTGTAATTTATCAATAATTGAGATTGACTTTAATAAGCACCTGGTGCTTCCGTCAAAATCCATTACGTGTATTATGTTAGTATGACTATGAAAATATATGTATAATGTATGATTACAATATATGCAATAAATAGAGTAACGGGCCAAATAAACTGTAAAATAATACAAAGTAAGTCCCTATATGGACATTTATGATGCTTCAAGTTTGTAGTACGTCTTTTTGCATTGGATAATCGTGACGTTTATATAGTTTTAAAAACAATGCTGCTGTCAATTTATGAAGAATTTTTTTTTAAGGTAAGCTTGCAGTATTATAGATTCATTATAAGTATTTCTGACAGGTGATATAATTATATACGGTTGTTTGCAATATATCCCTTGTCTGGCGACATTGGGTTATATTTCCAAAGGGCTATATAACCTGTCAAAAATAATTTTATAACTAATATCATAACATTGTAACATGGCTTTTCATTGGATAATATTGACGTTTATATAGTTTTATATACACGGCTGCCGTTAATCTATTAAGATATCTTTTTTTGTCTAAAGAGAAGTTTACAGTATTATACATTCGTTATAAACAACCGTTTATATAGGACCATGAAACCTGTCAAAATCGATATACATGTAAAATGAGCAGCTAACATTTCAAAACGACAAGGGCATACGTAGGAGAGATAGGTCTGCTTATTTGAGCAAATACAATCGTGACTGTATGAAAACACTCAAAACAGGTACCCAGAGACAAATACATTCTTTAGCTCAGCAACAAGAAAATTTGGCAAATTCCAATATAATCATGCCTGCAAGAGGTGAAATGCTGCCCTGTTTTTTAACCAGAAAACTAAAAATATAACTTTTATAAACTATGAAAAAACTTTTAGAAATCTTCTGTTTTATCATAGACATATTGACTTTTGTGGAGTTTCAGAGCACTGGTTAATGCCCCACAATTTACATTTTATTGATAGTATAAGCATGGATTATAATTATCATGCAGTTTGTAATAGTGATGTAAATCCGAGATTACGATCTGGTAAAGGAGGTGTTGCAATTTTATGGCACAAACGATTTGACAATATTGTAACACCTTTATGTATTGATGATGATAGGATCGCTGGTATTCAAGTGCAGATCTCAAATAACCAATATATGTTTATTTTTCAGATATATTTGCCATGCACTAACCATTCAAACTTTGCATTTTCAACTTACATTGATAAATTGTACGATTTGTATAACATGTATTCACAACACGGTGTGACTGTATTCATTGGCGATTATAATGCACAGTGGAATGCAATGCCGACCAATTTTCGTCGTATGTTATTGTTGCGATTTATGTCTGATTGTAATCTATGTGCTGTGAATACGCTGCCGATTTGTTTAGGTGCCAGTAACTCATATGTCTCATACGATAATATTTATCATACATTGATAGATTATGTATGTCTACCAGTAGAAGTTTTAGATTTAGTATCATTTTGTGAAATATTAGATGATGATTGTTTAAATGTTTCTAGACACAGGCCGATTATAGCTTCTTTTTATGTGCATATTGAAACATATTTTGATGTAAAAAACAGTTCAAATTTATATAATGTGAATTGGAAAAAAGCTTCAGATGAGAGTATAGAACAGTTCCGGTCTCTTCTTTCATCCGATAAAGATTTGTTAAATATTGAAATGACTGATCTGGATCGTGAAGAAGTTGATATAGCGTATAATACTGTCACAGAGAAAGTATTGAATAGTGCATCACAATCTTTACCGAAGAAAACATTTAAGAAACATTTGAAACCGTTTTGGAATGTCGAACTCGCAAACTTCCATAAGAAAATGACAGTTTTGAGGGATAAATGGTGTCGTGATGGAAGACCACGTGTTGACAATCACATAAGTTATGTTGAATATAAATCGGCCAAACGTATATTTAGACGAATGATGAGAAATTGTACAGCTGAGCATCTAAAACTCATGGATCAAGAATTGGACAGGACAGCCGAAGTAGATTCGAACCAATTCCGGAAGCATGTTAGTTCCAGAAAAAGACAGACACAATGTAAGGTGAGCTCCGGAGTTAAATTTGATGATGAGGTTATACGTGACCGTGAAAAACTCACAGAGCACTGGGGACGTTATTTTAGAAAACTTTATCAACCCAGCGAATCACCGGATTTTGACGACAGATTCAAACAGACGGTATGTACTGTTGTGGATGAAACTCTTAGTAATATTGAACCTGATAAAAATGTACGTGCTTTACCCGAAGAAGTGCCCACTGCTATCATGTCCCTACCAAAAGGTAAAGCATGTGGCGAAGATTTTGTCTTTTATGAACATTTGATTTATGCTAAAGACATTGCTTCAAGAGTTTTGGCCAACCTTTTCACATTTATGCTCCGCTTAGGATATATTCCCGATAATCTTAAGCTTGGCGTTATAATAACGTTACATAAGGGCGGTAATAAACGCAAAGATAACCCGAATAATTATCGGGCTATCACTCTTCGTCGGTGATACTTAAAGTATATGAACTCATCTTGTTATCCAGATGTAAGGACGTAATTCACAGTACGTTAAATATGCAACAGGGCGGCTTCCAGGAACAACTGGGTTGTCTGATGACCTCGTTCGTGCTTCGAGAGAGTGTATTTTTTTGCCCGGAACACTTTTCGAAACTTATGTTTCTTGGATGGGGAAAAAGCGTTTGATACTGTATGGCACCAAGGATTATTTTATAAGCTTATAGAATGTAACATTGACAAAACATCGCTTATCTCAATCCGGGAGATGTATAGAGACGCTACTAGTTGTGTTAGACATAAAGGATTAATATCTCACAGCTTTACCTGTTCTTCAAGGCACCCGTCAGGGGGGCAAAACTTTTCCGCTCTGCTTAAACCTCGTCTATATCAACGGATTAATAAAACAATTGGAAGAAAGTGATTATGGCTTTGATATGTATAATATTAAACTTAGCTCACCAACCGTTGCAGATGATAAGTATTTAGTATCGTTTTCCAAAGGAGGTATGGACAAGATGTTAGATATATGTTATGAGTACTCTCGTCAGTGGAGATACAGATACAATGCGGGGAAGTGTGGGATCATAGTCTTCAATGAGGATGAGGGAGTGAGGATAGAACATTTTATATTGGGCGTCAGCGTATTAATGAGGTTGAATATTACACTCACTTGGGCATCGAATGTGATAAGTATATGTCGACAAAGAAATTGTTTTATGATGCTGCTAACAAACTACGTGGGACATTGCTTAGCATCGTTAATAGTGGCATCCACCCAGCTCATATAAACCTAATATCTACCGCTCAGTCGTACTCCCAATGGCCCTCTACGGTTGTGAGTTATGGAATGTATACTCAGCATCAGACATTCGGACACTTGAATTGTCTCACCGCTTTTGTGTTAAGTTTATGCAAACATTTAAACGCCATACATCCACTGACTTTGCATTAAGTTCAATAAATATTGACAGTATTGAAGAAATTATAAACTACAGAAAGCTAAATTTCTTAGGCCAATTTTGTCGTCTGCCTTGCCAATATTTGGCAAAACAAGTGTTCATTACGCGACTGATAAAGTATTTGAACTGTGACAATCAGAGTCGTGGATTTATACCCGATGTATACAGACTATTGCAGAAATATAATCTTGAAAGTGTCCTTTACTCATATTTAGAAAGTGGCGTATTCCCTTCGAAATATGCATGGAAAGTTACTTTACGCTCAGCCATTACAAATACTGCAACCTACACGCGTGTTGACCGATTAATACTGTCAAGACGTGAGTTATGTGGAATAATCCAGTATTCATTGCCAGCGACGCTGTGGTATGTATCAAGAAATAACCCTAAAACGGCGTATATGTGTTCTTTTTTAATGGAAACTATAGGTACTTTTATGTCCCAGTCATATGTTGTAACATGTAGAAAATGCAACAGGCTTTGCGAAAATCAAATCGTACACTTGATGTGCTTCTGTACGGTAAACAACAACAATATAATCAGATTGTGGGACTCAGTCATTGAGGAATGCGGAATGACAACATTTATAGACCTTCTTGCGTTGTCACCTGAGGAACAATGCTGGCAATGTTTTCGGCTAGGATCTGATAATGACAGTCTAGCGTTGCGCAAT